GTAATTTTAAATGATTTTTTTTCCTACATGATTTACTTGTTAAAGATACTTGGTCGCTTATACTATAGAATTTTCCACATTCTTGATTTGGCAGATTGTGTCTTTTCAGGGTAATTTAATGTGTTCCTCTCTTGCCTATAGTCTCTGAAAAAAACCAATTAGACTAAGAGGTTTATTAGACTTAGCTAAGATTCTGGGAAGAATATATTGTACATAGTGCTTTGGGTTTCCTATTTCATAACACTCGGAAACATATAATTTCTTGTGCTAGAGATACAATTTTGGGTTTATGATAATTTTATAGTCTATCTCCCCATTAGACCACTGGCTTCATGAATATAGACACTATTTGTACTTATCAAAAATATTTACCTGCAGTGCTTAGTACAATTGTCAATAATGTTTCAATTAATTAGATGAGCTGTAAGAATGTTAATTTAAATGTGGAAAATATAAAAAAATTTGTATTTCTACAATTTTGTATAGCTGATTCTCTTCCTGAGGTTTTGCCAGTAGCTGGCAACTCATAGGGAATATTCACCAGCAAATTATGTAATTGATGGAATGATATTGTTTCAGCCTTGAGTCTCCAGAAAAAGGAAGTAAAGTGGTGAATAATGAGTTCTCTTCCTCAGTGTTGAAAAAGCAAGATACTGGTGAGTATAGATCAAACATTGCAGCTAGAACTCTTCAGTCAGAATTAAACTTGAGAATTCATGAGGACACATTAAATGTCTGGTGCATAGTTGATATTCAGTAAACATTATATGCTGCTGCTATTGTTATTATTATTTTAATTATCCCCAAATATAGTCAAAGACTTATGAATTTTATGCTTATAGGTTTTTCTCTATTGGGACAGTTGTGCCTTCTTGTGTTCCCTATAATTAGCTATTGCCTTTTTATAATAAATGTCATGTGTGAATTAAATTTTATAGAGTACAACTATAAAAAAGTTTAATATCTGGTTAAATATTTTGGCTAGCTCTACATTTCCTACTTTGGAGACTGAATGTCTATTTCTCATATAAGATATTGGGATAATTCCTGCACCTCAAAGGGTTGTCACAAGGATAATGTAATAAATAATGTATGTAGTGCCTTTAGCATTGAATCTGGCACATAGTAAGCAATAAATATCACATATATTA